AAAAAAAAAAAAAGAAAAAGCAAATAAGCCTGTAGTCCAACTGTGAAAGGAGGAGAGCTCTTCCATGACAAATGGATTAAGATGAGCCCAAGTCAGCCTGGGCTACCAAGTGAGCTCCAGGAAAGGCGCAAAGCTACACTTAGACCTTTTAGAATGGCTAAAAAAAAAAAAAAGGAAAAGCCAATACAGTAGGACTAGGTTAGGTCTTCTCTGTGTGTCACAAACATGGTGGATCTAGACTCTAGAGTGTCAGCTGCATCCCTGACAGAGTGTGCTCTGGAGAGCTGACCGTCAACTCTGTAGTTGCAGATCACACAAATGGTGTTTTTCTCATTTAAAGGACCTGGATCACAAACTGGTCACCAGCTCAATTACACACCCCACACCTCCCCTCTTCAGTAGAGCCAAACTGTGTGGGAAACTACAGTAAATGTACAAGGGGGTCCTCTCCCACTATCTCTGACCTCAAACAGATACATTCTAGAATGTGAGATTGGATTCAAGCATTACAGAACTTATCAACAAACATCACAGTTTACAATCTGAAGACACTAAAAACTGAGTTAAATAAAAACCACTAAGGAAAAAAACCACATTCTAGCCAAAAGATGAGTTATGACTTCTATGCATATCATATGATTTTTTTAAATCAGCAAAAGTAAAAATAGCCACTGTAGACTATTTGCTTAATATAAATTTTATACTTCAAAAGCAGAAATGCTGTTTTTTTCTTTAGGGTTGATCTTAATGTTCTTTAAACAGTGAGAAAAAAGTTGAGAAAACAGATAATCACAAATCATGAATGATTATGAGTAGGAATTCCCTACATAGCCCTGACTGTCCCGGAACTCACTATGTAAACTAGGTTGGCCTTAAACTCAAAGAGATTCTCCTGCCTATCTCCAAAGTTTTGGAATTAAAGATGGGCACTTGGCCCTACTTAATCCTACAAAAATGGAAGGAAAACAGGCTCCCAAGACTTAAGTATTTCAATGCTAGACTGCTACACAGCTGTGACCTTGGGTAAGCTCTTTTACCTTTTTTGAGTCTCAATTTTCATTCCCCCCCCCCCCCATACAGGGTTTCTCTGTGTAACAGCCCTGGCTGTCCTGGAACTCACTCTGTAGACCAGGTTGGCCTCAAACTCAGAGATCTGCCTGCCTCTGCCTCCTGAGTTCTGGGATTAAAGGTGTGCGCCACCACCGACCAGCAAGTCTCAATTTTTATCTGCAAACTGGGGTTAACACTTCTTACTCTTTGTGACTCAGGACATAGAGAAAGGAGATCATACATGCAGTACAGTCAACAGAGTGGCCTGCACAAAGAAAACATTTAATGTATAACGTTATTACCATCACCACTCATTTTCAGGCTGAGTACAGTGTACAATCTCCTAATGCAATTAGATGCATATGCAAACGACCATCATACAAGTGCTTAAAAGAGAGCAGCAGGGAACTAGGAAGGGCACCTAAGGTCCCTGACAACAATGCTTGTTGATTTACTTTATCTCTGGCTTCTTTCCGTGCCCAACTAGGGCTATAAGGAAGGACTAAAATTTCCTCAATACACAGTCTTTTCACTTATCGATTCTTTTACAAATGCAATCCATTCTTGTTAGTAGGCAGTTATCTTCTGAAAAGCTACAGCAAATGCAGAATTAGTGAATGCCACACCACTGTTCCTAGGTGTGGGAGCTAGGTTCCTGTGAGCCCTTTGGTCATGTTTTCAGTAACTTATCAATACAATATATAACCTGTTTTACATGTGTTCCTGTTTAAACATCTCATTTAACGACACTGCTGACTTATTAACACTGAACACACAGCCAACAGCACTGAAAGTGATGCCTGAAGGAAGCCTACCTAACAGTGCCAACAGTCAACAACAACGGCACAAAAATGTGAAAAGTGACATGAAATATACCACAGAGCCCAGTTTGCTGACAATATGAGACAGGACAGGGTAGCAGGTGCTGTCTTGCTCTACTCCAGGTGTCAGTGTCTGTGGGTAGCTCAGTTATTGCTGCTGTGTCTGGGCTGGCTATTCATTTAAATAAGCACTTGAACCATACGCTTCATGTCAGGATGTTTCCCTTCCTATCTTCTGTTTGTCCATGAGATCAGTGGGTAAGGAATTGCATCTTTTTTATTCTAAGTCTATTATAGTTCGGATGTTGATGCTCCCCTAACAGTTTCATTCAAAATCTCCAATGTGGTGGCAGCTAAGTGGTGGGGCTCTTCAGGCATGCAAGGGGAGGGAGGGCTCCACCCTCATCAACAGCCCAATGACACTACTTTGCCCCTTCTGCTAATGAGATATAACAATAAGGCACCATGCATGAAGCAGACAATGAACCTTCACCAGAGACCAAATCTGCTGGCACCCTGAGCCTGGACTCTTGGACCTCCAGAACTGTGAGTAATAAATTCCTATTGTTTATAAGTTACCTAGTCTAAAGCATTTTGTTAGAGCA